ACACACACACATACACACACACACACACACACACACACACACACAAACACCTTTGTTTCATTCTACACACAACACCACATAGTGAAAATAAAGTTCCATTGAAGTACTCGTAGCTAATCTATTGAAAACAAACAAAAAAAAATAATCAAAGAAATCACATGGAGATAATTATCCACAGCCTTCTCTCAGTACTTTGTTGATGCGCCGAGGATTTGTAAATATGACGGCACATCCTATCTTTGGGTAGTTTGACTAGCCCTGTGCAGCATCTCTCAAGCTCCCTCAGGTGGGACGGGAAGCATCAATGCACAGTCATTTTCAGATCTCTCTACAAACATCCAATTGGACTCAATTATGGGTTTTTGGCTGCACCACAAGAGAACATTCAGAGAGTTGTCCTAGCTCTATTCAATGCTAGATCGCTCGTTAACAAATCACTGTTGATTAATGACATCATTATGATGAATAATCTTGACTTATTTATCCTCAGGAAAACATACCACTCAACACATTAATCATTTTTCTTCGATTTTTATACATTAAAAAATGGAGAGAATCCAGAATCAAAATCACGACTTAAATTTCTATTAATCGTCAAGCACTTATGCTGACCTAAAACACCTTGGCGATGCACGACCAGCATAATTATTTTGAAATGAAAGTGCAGCAAAGTCGAGTGCAAGTGGAGAACTAAACTCCAAGTTGAATTTGACTTGTACAGACAAAGTCCTTGTAACTTTAACAAGAGTTAGTCAAAGTTAGACAACAACATGACTGAAATCATTCGTAAGAACTTCAACAATATGCACACTCTACTTCCTGCGGTTGACAAACTCACAAATCCCTCAAATCAAATAGCACCAGAACTCCTCTCAACAGATAAACACAACCAAATCAATCATATGCAGCAAATATGTCATCACAGTCTGAGTTCTGTTTAAAAAAAAAAAAAAAACTCAGTCAAGTAGAAAGTACTGGATAATTGTTATTATATATATTAAATATATAAGAAGACAAGATGAACTCATGAACGACATAAGCGAAAATACCGCCAACTGAAGACGATGAAAGACCAAGAGAACTTTTATAACTCCTGAGGGAGACGACAGCAGGAGCATTGAAACTAGTTGAGTCAAATAAAAATATAATAATAAAAAATAATTTTAATAAAAGTAATAATAATTGTCTTTAACAACAAAAAAAAAATACTGAAAAAAAAAACCGACTCAACTACACTAAATAAGTATTTGTATTTTGTTAGATCAAAATCATGGCAGGTTAGTTTTTGCGTGAGTGCCTGGATGTGAATTTTGGTCCTGTATAGTTGCACGCCAGTATGTGGGTAGTCAGAAGCTGGTCGCTCAAATTTTGGATTATTATACAAAAACAGGCAACGGCTCAACTCAAGTCAGAGAACCGCTGTATGAGTTTCCTTGTATGGTAATATGAAGGGCAACTCTACTCGTAGCATCTTACATTAGGAGGAAACGACTTCCTGAATTGCATTTCATAACCACATGTGAATGTGACTTTTTTTTGTAGCAGTCAACTGAAAGAGATAGCACCTTTCTACAGGCATGAATGTACTGGTGTGAAAAGGGGTGAAACTAGGGCCAAATGGTTGGCAGCTACAGTATGCTCATAACCTTGCAATTCATGAAAAAAAAAAGGCTCACACACTGCCCCGTGACTTTTCAAATGAATACTGTAAATAATTTGTTATTTCCTCAGTGGGTGTTCGATATTAAAAAATGTGTGTGACTTGATTTGTTTTTCTACAGAACATCAATAAATGATTCACATGCAGACAATAGCAAAAATGAGAAAGCTTTATCCCGGGAAATCATTCAAAAGCTTAGCTCTTTTAAAAAGCCACAAAAAAAGGATCTCTCTCTCTCTCTCTCTCTCTCTCTCTCTCTCTCTCTCTCTATATATATATATATACACCTGTATATGCCTGATATATATGTAATTTTGATGCAGCTCCAAATTACGGTGTGACATAAAGAACATTTTTCCTCAATCATGGCGACATATTTTCTTCAATTTTTCTATGTATTTGTATATAAGAGAGAGAGAGAGAGAGAGAGAGAGAGATCGAATCCGGCTGTGGCTTTCCTGCATGGAGATTGCATGTTCTCCCCGTGCCTGTGTGGGTTTTCTCTGTGTACTCCGGTTTCCTCCCACATTCCAAAAAACATGTGTGGCGGCTTAATGGAACACTCTAAATTGTCCCTAGGTGTGAGTATGAGCACGGATGGTTGTCATGCGATTGGCTGGCGACCACTTCAGGGTGTACCCCGCCTACTGCCCGAAGACAGCTGGGATAGGCTCCAGCACACCCCGCAACTCTTGAGAGGATAAGCAGATCAGAAAATGGATAGATGTCTCTCTCCCTCTCTCTGTA